AGTTTGTCACAGTGTTAAAGAAGGTTCCATGATCACACAATGGTGCAGAGGCGTTTAAAGGTGCCTGGACAAATGAACTTCAACAAATGCATCTCTGTGGTACATATGTGATGGTTTTCTAAGAGAAGAATGTCTGGTGCATCAAAAAATTTCATAATGCTAGGGTAAATGCTGTAGATCCTCTTGCTCCTGGTTCTTCTAGGAAGCAATACTCAAAGAACAAGGAAATGTTAATATTTAACTTGGTATCTTGAAATGCAAGTACCAAACAAACAAAACTATCTCCAGGAAATAGCAGAATAATGAAACTGTAAGAAGAATATTAACATGTTTTATGTATCTTAGACATAGCAATACAGTTTTAATTTGATTAGCTATTTGTAAAATATGTTTATAGAGCAAATGACATGTTTACTCATAGAGCAAATGTTGAGTAGAGCAATTGTACCAAGACAGTCATATCCTCCTTGGTGATCTCGAAATGAGAAACCTCTACATTGTTCTTTTTGACTAATCTGTGAGTAGTGCTGAAGAATTCCCCAGTGATAATACTGACGGTCAGCTTCACATCTTGCTTAGGGTGTAAGAACAGCTTGTAGTATCTCTGTTAGATGTGGAGGGATACAGTATTCAGAGGAATTCTCAAGAGAAGTGTAGATTAACATGGTAGCTAGGGGTTGATCTTCCATGCCACCTGAGTTCCTACAAGTCTCTAGTACTGATTTATGACTTGTTTTCATTATCATCTTGTCATCATGCAGGATCCAGTTGGTTCCAGATTTAACAAAACCAAGTAGTGTGGTTTGTTTAGCTTTAACTTGTGGACGCTGTGAGTTTGTAACTAGGAAAGTTGTGCTTGGACGATGCTGACAATTTATTTAAATGCCTGGAGTTGAGATCTGCTGGGAAGTTCATTCTTCTGATTTCCCCAGTGTCTGCTACACAAGGGGAGGAAGGCCAGCCACAACAATTTCTTGTCCGAGCCACATTCTCCTCATTTTCTTGTCCGAGCCACCTTGAAAACCTCGTCCTTTGCTTCTTATGTTTTTTAAGTTTCTAAATCTTGAAGATAACGCTTTCTTTTAAAAATTAGGCCATGTTAGGGCATAAAATATAGATAGACTACATCATGTTGAAATCTTCAAAGCCATGTGAATGATGTCAAACTTTAATTAGGTGAAATCTAAATCTCTTCTGCCTCCATAATGGCTAACCTAGGTGATAAAAAAGAAATAGCAAAATATTTGGCATACCTCTGCTGGCCTTCCTCCCCTTGCCCCTTGTTAATAGAGAATATCAGGTTTGAAGTGAGCTTCTTGAAGGTACCACGGATTTCCTGCTCAAACTTGGTGTCCTATCCGCCAGGGTCAAGGTATATAACAGACTCCTCCCCCCCCCAAGCTTCGCCAGTAGAATATACCAACCTTTCAAAGGTTTCCTCAAGGACAGTATTCTTCAGATAATCCTCCAGTGAAGATAAGATCTCCATGAAGAACTCAGCACAGTCACTTTTATCGTTAATATTCTTTTTCCATACCTTGCAAAAGTTACTCATACACTGAGATATCTCCACTTCTCTGACCTAATTAAGCAAGGCAGTTAACATCAATTGAAGAGCTAGAATCTTATCACTGTCGAATGAGGACTCTGTCGGTATAATAAGAATCACTTCATGATAGCTTTTAATATTTGCTAGAACCTGTAGAACTGAGCTCATGTAGCAGATGCTTTCGAGGTTAGGAATTCCAACCATCAGACTGGACTTACTTACAACCTTGTTCTTCTTCATTGTAACTGAACTGAATGAACTGAATGAATTCCAAACTTGTAAAAATATAAGTAAAAGTGTCATCTTAGGTAGGGCTGGGCACAGTTTGTTATTGTTTATTTGTGTGAATAACCTGCATATTCTTCCATAAATATTTATCAACATAAACTCCAACTTCTACTATTCTTCGTCTGTAGGTTCTTCTAGTTTGACTATTATCCACCTTGTCCCTAAATATTAAGATATCCACCTTGTTCCTGAATATTAAAATATCTGCTTTTTCCTAAATATTAAGATATCCACCTTATCCCTAAATATTAAGCACAGATATCTAGACAACTTTGAAAGAAATTAATCAGATTTAAGACCGAAGTATCACAACAGCTTTGGTTTTGGTTTTACCTCACTGACTTGCTTTTACTTTTTGGTAACCTTGAACATGCAAATTTAAAAACTAATTTAAAAACTACAATTTGCTTATTTCTAGCTTAAAGTTAAACGGAGTTATTTGCAACATCTTGATAGAGTTTGCTTATATTTGATGCCAATGTAAGATATCCACTTGGTTTCTAACTATAAATATATCCAGCTTGTTCCTAAATATTGATATTTTTGTCTGGCAAGTTATTTATGTGAGGATTACACTTTCATAGGTTTCAAATAAATCCTAAAAATTTCTCTATAAAACTGTACTCTCAGCCATGTATAGACAATCCCTTTATTTTATTTTAAGAAGTATAATTGGATCTATAAAAAAAGGTTATTGAACTACAAAAAGATTGTTTAACTAGTTACACATAGAGCTGGCCATGTTTCCTAGGGAACAATTATTTTTTCACAGGAACAAGCGGAATTGACAAGAACGATGCTATTGTTATGAAAAAACAAATGCAAAGAACATGTTCTTAATTATATCAAAATGATAGTCCAATAAAAACAGATGCATGTTTAGAATTATTTTATAAAATGTAACAAAGCTTGATCAGACCTTAATCCTTGAATGACTGAGACAGTCTTGATGAAGACACAGAGAAGGAAAAGAAAATTCATTTCTGAAAAGAAAGGCGTTTGTCAAAGGCTGTTAACTCAAAAGAATTTTAATGATAATCTCATGGGAATTTTTAAAAAAAAGGTTCAAATAAATTTCAGATTATTAGGTGTCTGCATATTATGTTGCCTTACAAGGGATTTGAGTATTTGGCATGAACTCTGATTTCTAAAAACAGATGCATCCTGATGTCCTAGACCTTTGACATTTTAAACCATTATTTCTGTTTGATTAAATAAAATTTGAAATTTCAAAAAATGTTAAAAATTTGAGTTTGTGGCTAAGACACAATTCCTTTGAATTATAATGAAATGTCAACTTCAGCAGGCGGATGACAATAAACAAAGCAAAAGATCAAAGCAGAATATTCTTAGGCCTATTTTTATTTATTTTACAAATAAGATAAATAAATAAGGATTTTCATGACAAATTTTTCAAGAAAACAAGATCATTGCTGATCTGACAAAGTTAAGCAAGAAAGTGTAAAGTTAATGAATTGATATTTTCATAATATGTTGCTAGGTATGACTTTTATGATAGCACACAAAAATTAATTTATCTAAGTCTTAAAAGTGTCAATGTGAAAATTTGTGGGATAAGTTATTTTTAAAATGAAAAGATATCATTTCATGATTTTTTCGATTTGTTAATGTTCTTTATCCTTAAAAATTATCAGAAAAACGACTGGAACTGTTCTCAATCAAGAAGGGAACAGAACGGAACTAATCACAATGGAACGGAACAGGAATGAAATAATTGGAAAAAGAATAGGGTTTCCACAAAATGACTATATTTTTGGCACAATCTTGCACTATTTTCCCGCATTTTTTTTTGGTGAACTTTTGCACATGAAAGGTTTTGCTAAATTTTTTTGTGCAATTTGCGCAAAACCAGAAATATTGTTTTGAAAATTTTTGTGCATGAAATGAAAAGAGCTTTGCGCAATTTTTTTTTGTGCAAAACCGGAAGTATTATGCAAAATCTAACTTTTTAAACAAATTGACAAAAATTGAAGTATTAAGCACAGAATTAACAACTGAAGATTTATTCAACTATTAAATACCAAAAATTATCAAAAAAAGTATGACTAAACTACAATGACATTTCGGAATCTTTTTTAAAAATTTAAAGAGTATCAAAAAGAATTAAAAAACTTGCCATTTGATGAAAAGGCTGCTTTTAGGCCAATAATTCAATAAAAATGGGACCTTAAGGCTACCAATTCAAAAATAGATTTTACTTTATTAATAGTATGTTATATAAATTTTACTATGACAATTAAATAAGTATTGTTCATCATCTTACGCTAGTTACATCTGACATACAACATTTTTAAAAATTTTAAGTTTTAAAAAATTATTTTTTTCAAAACATATTTCTATCTACAGTTTCATTTTTTCATGTGTAAATACCATTTGACGATTTGGATTGTGATAAAAATAATGTTAAACAAATTAAAAGATTAAAAATGTTGTTTTGGAATTCAAAGGGAAGACTAAAGTGCTTAGTTCCATTTCCGAAGATTTTAAATAGCTTTTTGTTTAATTTTATTAAGAAGTATTTCTAGCTGGTACAATGCTCATAAATGGGGACATAAATATCCCCAATTAGAAACTTGATCTCCATTCTCCATGTCCCAGATTACCATTAATAAGAAAAATTTAAAAAAAATTGTTTTACTTATTCACCTTTAACAAAGTAACATAGATAAATTTTACCAAAAATTTGATTTTTAATGCAGTAGCGTACTTGTAATATATGGTCAAGGGGGGGTAAAAAAAATTCTAGGGGGTAAAAAAAATTGGCATGCAGCTCATGCAAAATGTTAACATATACCCCCCCCCCCTAGCAAATCCTTATATACGTCCTTATTTCTATAAAGTTTTTAAAACTATAAAAATCTTCACTTCTTACACAGAATCATGAATTTGAAACTTGTCACAAAAACAATTTATTGTTCAATAAAATCATCTTTTTGATACTTTTATGGCATATAGATAAATTATTTTACATGAGTTTTAAAGCCATAAAAATTATTAAAAATCAATCCTTTAGCTTTCTAACTTTTTTGGAGATCAAAGTTGAATCAGCACTAATCATACAACCATCTGGTAAAAAGTATGTTTCTTCTTTAGTCACTTTACATATAAAACTTTAGCACACATTAATCTCTTACATGGATTACTTATATAATAGCACAGTTAAAATATAAATTTCAAATTTGGTCTGGAACTGCAGAACATTATCCAAAAGGCAATGATAAGAGAGAAACTGTTGTGCAAAAATATAAAGAGAAAAATTTTATATATAAATTGCTTGTGTCTTTTGAAAATAGAGCAATTTTGGTAATTTTAAATCTTTTTTGTACCATAATCATACTTGAGATGTCAACGATAGTGTAACGTAACGTAAAATGTACGTTTTTGTATGTTACATTACAATAATATGAAACGTTTGGATAAATTCTATATAACGTGAACGTTATAGGAGCTCATACCTAACATTAACGTTAAACATTAACGTTAGATAAACATACCCCCAGCATTAGCGTTTTGTGGTAATGTAACGTTATTTTTCTAATATCTACATGTTTTGTTTCCATGGGGAGCAGGAAAGTCTAACGTTTGAAAAATTGATTGTGATTTTATTGCATATCGTAATGAAAGGATTTCTATTTCAAAGTTCAACTTAAAAAAAGTGTAACTTTGTATAAATGAAAAATGCATTACTTTTTATGAAAACGTTTTGAAACGTTATCTCTTATAGTATAATAAAAAGTTCAACATTGTAGAAATGGGTTATTATTTTAAGAATCAGGAAACGAAAGTTTTCTATACAGCGTATAAATTTTGATAATGTACAATATAACATTTAAAAGATGTACTTCTGTAAATCAAAAAGCTTCATAAGTTTTCTCTGAATACTAAATTGATTAGTCTAACATAGATATATGTCTGATGAAAATATTGTTCATAAAACGTTAGGCTATGAGGGCTGAGTTTTAATTTCAAAAGTGTAACAATAATTCTGCCAATCAAAACATTTCAAAATGTCTCTAGTCCATCAATGTAAGAGCTTCAAATGATAATTATGACAGCAAAGACTAATGGTTTTTTATTTCAAGTTTAAAGGAAATGAGTTTATGCCAGAAACTCTAATTTTCATTTTCTATATCTTTAAAACCCGATGTCGTAGACCATAAGTATTGAAATAAAAAAGGTTTAAACCATCAGGTTGGAAAGATGATAAGGATAAGTATATTTGAAAAAAACTTAGTTCCTTTCTAAAGTGTAAACAAGTGTAACATTCTATTAGTGAAAATTCAAATCTTATAAATGTTTCTTGGATATTAAAGGTTTTTGATTTGACTAATTGAAATCATAACTTCAGTTGGCATGGTTCATGTTTTAGGTTGAAAAATTTAGAAATGTAGATACTTACTTAAATGCAAAAATATGTTATCAATTGGAAACTGCGTGCTATGTTTTATTCATCAATAGATTTTTATGAAACTTTAGAAAAGAATAAAAAACTGATTTTTAATCGATTGGTTAAAAAAAAAAAAAAATTTTATAAAATTTTATTTCGCGTTGTTTTGTGTTAAAAAAGATTTAGCATTTGTCTAACTTTATTTGATATTTTTAACCCCAAACATGGAACACTGAAAACATTTTTATCGTGGTTTGTAAACTAAAGCTAATGCCGCTCTTTTACTCACTGTGTAAGTAACATAAAAAAACACAAAATGAACTAAAAATTCGCCACAAATTATAATTTTATAATCTCTACATTTTTGCAAAAAAGGTTTAACTTGCCGAATTTTAATTCAAATTATGAAGTGTCCCAAAAATGTCTAATTTTTAAGCTTGTCAAATAAACAATGATAATTTCAAGTGATCCTCCATTTAAAGAGGGCCATGCTTGATTTCCCAATGGTAATGTATGTATACCTTATTGATGATTTGAAAATACCAGCGTTTTCCTTTCTTCTAAATGTATGCTGGACATGCCACTCCATAAATGGAAGGTGACTTGAAATTACGTCTTGATAGTCCCTTTAGGACACATGCACTTGAGTTGAAAGTCTAATGCTAAAAACTTTCATTTACAAGTTTTAAAAACCGTTAAAAATAATAATATTATAACATCTTTATATTGCATATTCTTCTACACATTCTCTAAAAAGGTTAACAATGCAACAGCAGCATACAGGGTGTGTAAAAAAGGGATTAACAACACAACTTTTTTGCATGGTTCATGATTTAGGATGAAAAATATTAAAGTAGGAATGTAATTATCACTGAAAAAAATCTTGTAATGCTTTCATTTAGAAACAATGTTAATTTTAATGACGTAAGAAACGATAAGGCCTGAACATTTTGATACAATTCAACATATAGAACATTTTTTCAAATCTTTCTTAGAAACGAAACGAATAAACAGTTTTGATTGCCAGTTGTAAAAAAGTGTAATAAAAAAGTTTTCACAATAATGTTTTGATAAATCATAACGTAAGAACGTAAGGGAAAACGTTTTCATAAACAGTAATGCATTTTTCAGTTATACAACGTTACACTATTTATAAGTTGAACTTTGAAATAGAAATCCTTTCGTTACGATATTCAATCAAATCACAATTCATTATTCAAACGTTAGACTTTCAAGTTCCCTTTGGAAACAAAACATTTCTTTACGTTATGGTCAAAAAAGTTGTAGATATTAGAAAAATGACGTTACATTTCCACAAAACGCTAACGTTGGGGGTATATTCCTCTAACGTTAACATTAGGTATGAGCTCCTATAAGGTTAACGTTTAACGTTCACCTTATATAGAATATATACAAACGTTACACATTATTGTAACGTAATGTACAAAAACGTACATTTTATGTTACACTATCGTTGACATCTCTACCTATTAGCTTTCAAATCAAGTGAAAGTGTAAAGTAAGGTCTCTAAAAACATTTACCTTGCATGACAGTGGAACATTAGAAAATTGTGGTTATATTACTAAAGCTTTAACGCAACGTTGGGAAAGTTTTTTAAAACAGGAAATGCAAAAGTGTAACAGAGCTTACTTTTTTTTGCTAACATTTACTAAAGCTTAACGTTGTATAAGGTATTCAAGTGCAGAAAATTCATTACGTAACGTTACACTATGCCATAAAATTTCATAATTTCATAACGTAACGTTTCAAACGTTTATACTTTTGATTAACACTATCGTAACGAAAGCTAAAATCTAGAAAAATCAAAACGTTGACTTCTCTAAATCAATGTTCATAAAATATTATTAAATATACGATTAATGTTATGTTTTCTCTTCTAAATCAATGTTCATAAAAAATTATTTAAGATTATCATGTGGGCAACTTCTTAATAAAGATATGACTTAGAAATGGAAAAAGAAAGTTAAATTTTCTATTGCAATTTAATCCAGCTGTTTTTAAACATTTTAAAAGCCTTTGCGAGAGCTTGGAATTTGTGTGTTGGATATCTATACTTTAAATCCATTGGACAAATTGTTGAACTTAAATGTGGTAACTCTCATATAGACCTGGGCAATTTTCTGTTAACCATAAATTCTTTAAATCCATTGGACAAGTTGTTGAACTTAAATCTGGTAACTCTCATATAGACCTGGGCAATTTTCTGTTAACCATCTAGATCTACCCCAACCATTGCTGCTTTACAGTGATTGTAAATATAAAGTCATGCTGCACCTGTTAGCCCTGACTACAGAGTTAGGCCAACAGTATAGTTGATGTATACCGGGGGTGTAGTACAAACTAAGAAAACCGTGAATGTTCAAAGCTCAGATTTAAAGACACATGAGTAGAATGTGGGGCAAGCTTAGAAATCTTTCACTTACAGCAAAGGATATAAAACAAAAGTTTGGCTCATTAGAATTTTAAATCAATTTCTAACACTTATATTCTATAAATTTTTAGTTATGTTTAATTTATTCTAATTCCATTACAACAAAGGCTTAAATTGTTATCAAGTTTCTCAAGATCTATTAGTCCAGAATAATAACACAAATGGTATAATCAACTACATATCCTCTTAATCACTGAACATTTTTTAGAAATGCATTTTGTGTATCTTCTTTGTGTAATCAGCCAAGTTATTAAAATCATAGAAGCATATAGAAGCGGTATACTGTAAGTAATTAAAACCCAAACAACATTTTCAAGAATTTGCAGTGGTTGGCGTTTATATGAATACAAAAGACAATTTTTTTTATTTTTGGTTTTTAACAAGTTTTTTTTCAAATAACATGCTTCCGAGTAAATAAAAACAAACTTCATTTTTGATAGGATTACTATGATTGCATGATTATGTGTAACAATGCTGTTTAAAAGCTTGCTAGAAACCAAAATTAAATTAAAAGTCGTCTTCATTGCATTGATATATCTATAGGACAATGACATGACTGCAAAATGTTAAGCTTTTAAATCTTCTAAAGATACATTATTGAGAACAAGTATTGAACCCTATATAAGTATCAAAATCATTATAAATTGTAAAAATTTATTATAATTTTCTNAATGATTGACTAATAATAATTCCACCTTCGAAATATTTAGACCCTATGGAACTCATAAAGTGGACAATCGAGGAGTGAAAACTTACAAGCAAAGAACTCTTGAAGTTGGAGTCTACACTGATAAATTTTTGTGGAAAAATATGAAAGTGAGTAATAACTATTTCTAACTCTGTTATTTTTGTTCCCAGTAATATAAAGATTTTGGACAGAAATTGTCCTATATCTAGAAGGTTCAAGCCTGTTTAGATTTAATTTTTGTGGAAAAATGTGAAAGTGAGTTATAATTATCTATAACTCTGTTATTTTTATTTGCAGTGTTATAAAGATTTTGGAACTCTGTTATTTTGGTTCACAGTGTTATAAAGATTTTGGACAGAAATTTTCTCTTTATCGGGAAGGTTAAAGCCTGTTTAAATTTAATTTTGTTCCAAGCTTTAGCAAGGGACAAAAAATAATCTAAAAAGGCATAGATATAAAAAAATTTAAGTCTAAATCTTTATAGCACGTTGTACCAAAATAACTGGTTATAGGTAATTTTATGAAACGTTTGAGTCTTATTTCAATGGCTACTTCTAAATCCAATGAGCTTTGAAACAAAGCAGAAGTCAAAATGAAAAGTTGATTTCAATTTTATTTTCATTTCAATTGAAAAAATACTTTGGAAATATTCTACTTTATTTAAAGAAAATCTGGGAACCAATAAAAACTTTCTAGCACATGTGCTATAATGTACAGCTAATTTAACTTTCTAGCACAATGATTACTTTATAGCATGTTCATTAAGAAATTTACGATGAAGTAAGGAAGAATGATCAAGTACAAAAATAGTTTCTAGCTGGTTCTTAAAGTTGTTGTTGTTTCCTACTTTGGAGGTCTTAGGAGCACTGAAGTCGTGGATCTGAGTCTAGAACATTTTTCTAGCCACAAGGAAGGTTGCTCATGAGCATGTGAAACAGAGAACAGACAACCAATCCTCAAAGTTTTTAGTACCTTGAGGATCAACTGGAAAGACTAATTGGGCTAAGATACTTGAAACCTATCTTAAAGTACAAGATGATCTTCAGAAATTCTCAGGAAGAGTTTTTAAACAGGCAAAGGTTCTACCCTAGTTAACCAGCCCCTGGGTTTAAACATGTTGGCATCAATTCCAAACTATGTTGCTAGAAGTATTGGAAAACCTGAGGTAGAGAGCTACCACTTCACTCATTTCACAGATCTTAAGCTACTGGGTGCGACACCAGCCAACCGATTTCTTTGGATGGAAATCAGAAAACATGGCCCAGGAATACATAAGCACAAGCGAATGATGTTAATCACATGTCCACATTACTGAATAACAATGAATCCAATCCAGCAGGAGAATGGGGTTCACTGCAATCAATGAGAGAATAGCCAGTGATTATTAATTCTTAAGATTCTTCAGTTTGACAAGAAATCATGAAGGTCCAGCACAGCTTCTAAGAGTCTCATTCCATGCACGGCATGGATATAGCAAGAATTATTCAGAGCAATGAAATGGTCATCATTTATGAACACATTGTGTGAACATATGTGTCAAAAATGTTAACTTAAAATATAATTTTTATAATCAAATAATTTCTGAATTTTAGAGTGATTTAAATCTGAATTTTTAAGTTAAAATCTCAAACAATAAAAGTATTGTATCCTTATATATATATACTCAAACTTTTCAAGACTAACTACGTAGATATATAAATTCACGGAGTTTAACTGTGTTAAACTGTTTTACGTTAATATCTCTTAGAAGAGTTTTTAATTGTTTGATTTTCAGTAACTTAACATTCTTTCATTCAACACTCAAATAATCAGAAACTTTTTTATTATAGACTCTACAAAGACAATAGTAAATGACTTACTTGTTATCAGTCAGATGATTTATTCTCAATAACTTAGAATAGAGTGGCAATACATAATTCATGCATTGTATTCATACTGAATCATAAAGGTTGCAGGTTTTCGCATGAAATATATATATAATAACTATACAAAAATAACATTTAGCCTCGCTATACAATATATATGGTTTCATTGAATAAAAACGGATTGTACATCACATTTTGTTATATTATTGGTCGATAGAAATGGTTTCATGGTTGTATTGGATAAAGAAGAATTGTTAAGATTACAAGCAAGAAATATAGAAAGACAGAAGGGTTTATCTAGATTTACTGCATTATGCATAAATATTTATTTAATATTCTTCACACATAAATATGTATTGTTTGAAAAGAATAAAATTGTTGTTTGTAGTGTTTGCAGTGTAATAAATATTTGAATGTTTTAAATTCAAAGATAAAAAAATTTAGAATAACAAATCTTAAATCATTTTTTTAAATCTGGGAATTAATCAAACTTTATAGCACAGTGCTAGAATATAAAGCTAATTTATCATTATAGCACGATGATTACTTTGTAGCACTGTTATTTTGCATGATATTGTGCAAAATAGTTTCATAAAAATAATTAACAAATTTGCTTTGATAAACTGAAACCAAACTTTATTATTATTAACAGAATAACATATCAATTTCATATTTTTTCAAAGGTTTAAAAAATGATTTTGATTAGGAATATATTTTTTGCAATTTAAAATACTAAGCTTTTAGGGTGCTTCTCGCCCATCTTCTATTTAAATTGTGAACATGTTCTTTTTGTTTACATGTTAAAACAAAGAAGAAAAAAATTTCGCAGATTTAAAAAAAAATTAGCTGATTTTCATGAATTTAAATCTTTTTACAAAATTAAAAACCTTTAAAATATATTTTTAAAAAATTTATATCATTCATAAACCGTCCCTGTGGTCACGTGATGTCCCACAAAAAATTTGGGCCTGATCGGTTCAGCTGTTTTGACGTTTATTGGATACAAACAAACAGACAAACAGACAGACAAGCCAAAGTTATATATAGAAGTTGATTAAATCAATGAATGTAAATATTTTATGCAAGGCTCAAGTGAAGGGATCTGATGCTGTTGTGGAAAGTGCTATGAAAAAGATGATAGGAAACCTATTTAGAGAAGTTGGGGTTTTATTCAAACATCCATCAATTTCAAAAAAAGGTTGATCTCTAACATACAAGGATAACATATAATTCTTTTGAAATGTCTTTAATATTTTCAATGTAACATGAATATAAAAAAGATATAAAAGATAATGAAGAGTATTTACAAGAATTAGAGAGCAAAAACCTATCAATCAGTTAAATTTAAAATATGTACTAATTATTTCTTCAGGGGGATTTGATGTAAAAGTGAATGGTATCATAATAGTCAAGGTAAAGAAAATTTATAAAGCCCTTTCTATTAAAAAAAATTAGGCAAAGAAAGCAGAACAAAAATATATCAGAAATTCTACAAGCTCTACAGCAACAAAAGCTAGCTGGCAGTACTATGGGGGCAGCTCACAATTTCATTTTAGATTTTGGAAGATTTTTTTTCCAGAAACCATAATAAACATGCGGGAAAATTCAATACAATTTTGCAATATTTCAGCACAAATTGAGAACTCTAGCAGGAATTACTTCATTTTGATAAATCACTTAAAAGAATTATTTTTGGGTAAAAAGACTCAGAAAGGGTAATAAAACCTGCTTTGTGATGTCCTATCTGTTACAACACCCCCTAATTATCAAAAAATTATTCTTTAAAATAAACACCCTATTAAAAAAGTACGGCTTATTTTAGATCAATACTGTGTATAACAGTATTGATTATGGTTTCCAATGCAATTGGGAGCCCTTGTGAATTTAATTGAGCCCAATTTTGTAATAATTGCGGGAAATAAATGCAACTTAATAGCACGGAATTCCATCCATACTTTCTTACATTTGTGTTTCAATTTTTAATAATATTTAATTCAAACCTTATTGCATGCAATAAATACAATTCGCAATTCCGTTCAACAACAACAAAATCAATTTAAACATTGGTAGTGGCATACAATAAACTGAACTTTACTAACATTTTAAGCTCAAAGTGTAAGAAAATTGAATTTAAACTAATTATTTTATTTTACAACAGTCATATGTAGCATGATAACAGAAAACTCTGGCATAGAAATATGACATTTTAGACTCAAGCAGACCCATTTAACTGAAAACTGATAATTGATTTAATAAGTTTCTGTACCATAATTTTCTGGTCCACACTGGGGCAAAATATCTAATTTTGTTAAAATGAACATTACAATTTTAGCCAAAAAAGATTCCATTTTAATATTTCCTATGAAAACAAATGAAAAATTTATCATATTAAATTGTTAACTATTAGCTTAACCACAAGAAACTTTAAAATTTGAAAACTGTTAAAAAATTTTTTTTGAACAAAGTTCTACAAAATTTTGTTTTACAAAATTCTCAAAGCTTTTGTTTCACAAAATTCATAGAATTTTTGTTGATTAAAATTCGCAAAATTTTCATGAAAATGAGAAACGAAATTTGTCAAAATGAGAGAGTTTCATGTCTGATGTGAAAATGGGATAAATGAAGTTTCATACTTATATTTTTTATTAGTAAGGAATGATAAGTAAGGGATGTTATAAAACTTGACAAGCATTTCTTTCACTTTGACTTCAATCAAACTGTTCTTGAGCCAAAAAAGTTTGTAACTCATCTAGAAATTTTCAAGAAATTAGGTTCAAATTTTGTGAAAATGGGTAATCAAATATTTTTGCTAAAGTAATTAAAATTTTCGTTTTTGTATGAATAAAATTTTGCTGAATAGATTCAATGAAAATATGGAAACCCTAAATTTGGCATTGCATTAAACAAATAAATTGTTGGAATGAATCCTAATTTTTCTCTTTTACCCCAAATACCAGTTTTTGCACTTCCAGTCCCTACTTTAAATGCAAACAAAAACATGTATTCTATGACTTAGGATGATTCTTTTGATGAATTTTTCAAGCATATTCATGAAGCAAAGCAACAAATAGATAAACTCCAATGGTTTAAGGTCAGTTGTTCCTGTCAGCTTTTTCCCCCAAGCAATACAATATTCTCTGCCTCTAACCTTGAGTCAACGCCAGTAAAAAAGAAAAGAAAAATAAGTTACCCTTTTCTTTAAATCAGAAACTACACTGGGAGTATGGTTATCTTTATCAATTTTCATACTGGAAAAACATTTTCTTACCAAAAAACCGTCATTTTTTTCTTGTAAAAATTTTGACTAGACCTAAAACCTTTTTAATCAACATCCACTTCTGAGGCTTTCTGATGATAATGCTTTTGAAAATAATATATATTCTGAGCTAAAAACTATGGTGGATATTGAGATTAATGCGTGATCCTCTCTTTTTCATAATATCGAGACTTGTATCCTGAAAAGTGTATAAAATTCAACCTATCAGAGTTGCGTGTACAAAGCCAATAAATTTGAAATTTTGAGTGCCATTTAAGATTAAGTACAGAAATGGGAGGAATTCTCTAATTTAGAAAAACCGGTTTTTCATTATCTCTACTATATCCAAGAAAGAACTATTTAAGAAAAAAATCAAAAGTGTGTCCATTGGATACTCAGATTCAGTAATTGGGATTAGCTATAACTCATTCTAAAGTTTTCAGCTCTGAAGTCAGTACTTCTGAACTGTGAATCATGTGATCTGGCATTGATTTCCATCTTCTGAAGACAACAAATTGATTGAATTGTTCTTCATTACCCCTGTACGAATAATAAATTGATCAAGATCTTAGATAAAACAGTATATACAGGGTGTGGCACATCATATATGATCATTTATAGCTCTAAATTACGATGTTTGGAACTAATTAGAAAAATTAAAAAGAATAAATTGTTCAAAAAACTACATAAGGCTAATATTAAAATTTGTATGCAGAAAATATTTTTTTTTTTTTAGTATTAAGTGCATATTTTGGCTTTAAAGCTTTTAGATAATCCAATATGAAATGAATTTATGTTGTGTACGCAAAGAATTGTACTCTCCTGCAATGACTATATCTGAAAGGTCACCTATATATTCTTTAAGTTTATGCAGGCCACAAAATTGTTCTGAGACCCAATTTAAAGAATTTAAGCCGCAGCTTAAATTTAAGTCACTGCTCAAATTTGGTTGGTTCCACTTAGAATTCTATTTAATTCTTCAAGATTTAAGCCAGCACTCAATTGAAACCAGTTTTTAGGGGATTTGAGACACAACTTAATTCAGACTCATTAAATTCGGACACTAGTCTTCAAAATATCTTACGATAACTATTTTCCATACATATATTTTAACTTTTAACTTTTAACTTTATAAAGCCAAAATATCTGCCAAAGTTTTATTACATACAGAGCAATACAACTTACTGAAGTTTGAACATAACTAAATTTTAATTATCAAAAACAAAGACTGAACTGCAGTTCACACCCCATTAAAAGGTTCATTGTAAGCATCAATATGGTGGCCTAAACATACTCTGCAGCTAGTGTAGTGTAGCTATATCAGATTTCTCTAATTTCCCTGTATAATAAATATCTAATATAGAGTATATTACCACCCACTGATCAAGATGTACAATACTCCGTACAAAAGTTTTAACCTAAAATAATAGAAATATTTTATTTAGAGTTATGTTTCTTATAAAAACAATCCAGATGATAAACAACGCAATAGCTATGATATGAATATCCTCCTCATTGGAACTGACAGTGATTGTATGTATTTTATAAAATAACAGGGGTAGTGGTAGGGAACTACAAAGCACTTAGTGCACACTACACAATGCACGTAGTGTGAAGCTTGGCATAGAGTAGAACAGGGGATCTTTATTGTGTGACTTTTATGAGAAGATGGCATGATTCATTAACCCTCAAATGAATAAGGCTTTAAGTGAACAAGTCTTTTAAAGCATTTTTATCCTGCAAACCAAATAACCTTAAAAATGTTAACTCATAACATTACAGTAACATTGCCTAACATAACCACAGTTATGTTATCAGACCTACAAAAACGTTATTCTTGGAATATTATTTTTAGGGTTGATGAAAAACATTACATTTACTGCCTATATTAATGTTGTCTAATGTAATGTTTTCAACATTTCTAAATATAACTTTAATGATGTTACATAGTGTAATACAACATTGTTTTAATAAAGTTATTTCAATATTACATGACCTCCAATAACTATGTTGTGTTCTGTTTCAAAGATTTTTCGGGAACTTAGAGAATATTCGTTATATTGAACATCACAAAAAATGCATTTAAAGGCTTAAATTTTGAAATATTTGAATATTTTTTCATAGAATTGATGTGGGAAAAATTAAATGGAAATATTTTAGAAACAAAGTTTGAAAAATCAATGTCAGTAAATTGTAAATTTTTTTATAATGGGAAGTTTAAGTCTTCCTAAGGAATTATATTAATGTAAACCAGAAGTGAACTTATATTAGAATAAAGAAGCTGATACCTTATTAGACTGTCACCCATTTGTTAGGTTAAAGGTAGACTATTCACTTCCCTGTATGTGCCCTCATGTTTATCATACTCGATATAGAAACTTGGTAGATATAAATTTGAGAGGCGTATAGTATAGTATAAATCTATGAATAAAATGTGAAGTTTAAAAACTAAGATATAAATAAAGATATATGAATCCATTATGAATAATATAATGAGAGTAAAGTTTTGGTTCATAAACATCACATTTTGGTTCATGAATATCATATTTTGGTTCATAAAAATCATATCTTTGTTCATGAATATCATATTTTGGTTCATGAACATCATAATTTGCATAACATTCAAGAATGGTTCTTTGGCTTGCAGGTTCACAAAACAATACATTTTTGGTGGTACTATTTTGAATTCAAATCATACACCCTGTGCACAATAATAAAATTTATATTACTGATAAATATATATTCATGAATTTAAGGGCTTAACGGACTTGGTAATCCTAACAGTGTTTGCTTTATGTAAGTTATTAATATTGAATAGTTAATATTGTGACCCCTACCCCCACATAGTTTTAAAATGTTTAGGAATGCTGCTGCCATAGCGGACTTGTATTTAGTGGGGGGTAATTATATAGCTCGGAATGTTCCTTTGGTAGCCCATGAAATGGGGCATGTTTTGGGAGCCCAGGAACATGATGGAGAATATGAGTCTTCTAAATGCGACAAAGGAACATATATTATGGCTCCCAATGTTGACACTAGTGCTAAAACATGGAGTTCCTGCTCAAGGTAGGTTTCATTCAGGGGTATTTTTTTTGCCCATAATCCCCCTTCTTTAAAAATTAGGTTTTTTTCTGCTTAGTTTGAAAGGTTAGAGGTGAGGGGTCGCAATACTAAAATGGGGAAATACATTTTTTCAGGGGTAAGAAACTGTTTGAGTTTGAACAAATAATTATCTTAGGTCCTACTTAGAATTTTCTTACCAGAATTGGTAAAAGCTCAACTTTCATAAACATCAGACAACTGTGATAATATTATCTTTCAGGGACCAGTTTGATCTAATCGCCGCCCAACTTGATGGGAGCAAAGTAACAAAAGGAAATTGCTTTTACGTTTAGAAGAGCTATTGGATTTAATCTTAGTTTAGACAATGTTTTGCAAAATATTTTAAAATAAAAAAAGACGCAATTATATACATATTCTGTATTTTTAATTTGGTATCTTCAATTTAAATATTCCAAAGTTGTGAAAAATTGTTATTATGATTTCATAAAACATTCTGTATCAAGGTTATCTTAAAATTCTAAACTTGTTTTACAAGGGCGTATACAGGGGGGGGGCATGGGGGGCAGTGCCCCCCCTAGACTTGTAAAGGGGGGGGCATAGCCCCCCCCTAGAATTCTGCAAGCCTTTCACACTTTTCAAATCTTAACTGAAAAGTGAAGAAATCAAAAAAAATAAGTTTGCTTTTCATGATTATTATAAAAAAACAAAATTTTAAAATATATATAATTACAGTGCAGTGCTCATGCTGTAACCAAGTTAACCTAACCAACCTAACCTAATTTTAACTTTTAAGTTCACAGAGTACACAGAGTTTAGTTGGGTTCAGAGAACACACAGTCTGCATACATTTGTACAGCTCACACACTTTACATTATATGCTAGTCTTGTTTAGTAGTGATGTGAGTCTGTTAAAAGTTGCCGTTGTGACTGGTATCTGTAAATTGCTGATTAATAATTATCATGAATCAAATACTGTTATTTATAAGCCTTGAGTTATCATTCATTCTTAGATTGCAGCAATTGTACTCCTACTTTTTTTCACAACAGAAACTTTTACAAGTCATAATTATTTTCTGGACCTTTGTACTTCTTTTCATCTCATAGAATTTAAGTTTAAGTTAAGTTTTTATTTTCAAAAATGTCTTTTACTATCTCTAGTTTAAATACTAAATATACCTGTAAAAGTATAATAAAATGTCGATTTTTTAGAAACAATGCTTAGAAGGTAATTATTAGGACTGTATGTGTGCCTTTTAAGTATCTTATACTTATGCCTGATATCCAAGAAGCCAAGTGTTATGAATTTACAGTTCGAATTTTGCCCCCCCCTAGGAGCTCCTAGCGGGGGGCAAAAAAAATTTTTGCGCTTCGCGCAAATCTTGCCCCCCCCTACATTTATTTCTGTATACGCCCTTGCTTGTTTATACTGAATCACAATATTTATTCATTTAGTGTACTGTCGTGTTTTGTTGACTTATAGTCAGTACTTTATTGTATAAAAGTTAGTTTTATTAAACTTTGTATATTTTTATCTTCAGAGAAAATCTGACCTAAATCAATCGATTTTGATTAGTTATTTAGTAAAAATTTGGCATAGTGTAAATAAGAACAGTAAATGTTCACAAAATTTGTTTTGAAGTGTAAATTTCTCAGATTTTGAAAAGTCCAAAAACTTTTAAAATGTTAAAAAAAAATTAAACAAACCAAGTTCTCTAAGAGCAATCTTTATGCTCTTTTGGTTTGCTAGGAAATGTCATGATAATATTGAAGCTGTAAAATTTTGCCTACTAAGAGAATTAACTATATAAGACTGTCTAATAGAGTGCAAAAAATCATTTTCAAAAACCTGTCTTCCTTTACTATGAAGAATATAATTCTGAGCAAGCACCTTTTCAAGAAGCACTTTAGACCATATATCCCAATGAAACATATTAAAACACAGCATATTGCAAATCAGAATGTTTATACACCAAAAAATTTAAATCAAAACAGTTGGAACTAACCTTTGAGGTTCTGGAAGTGGAAACTAAGGCAACGTACCCTAAATTCATACCTATATAGATTGTCCCAGAATCAAACATTATAGAAATCCTAAATATAGAAATCGCTAGTTATCACAACAAGGCGTATTTTATGGTAGAACATTTTTTATATTTTTCAGAAATTAAATAATAAGTGTAGAGTAGATAAAATTTTCATAAAATCCTTTTATTTAAATGGTAATGGTAATTTTTGAGAATTTTTTTTAATAAAACTCATATCATTTTCATGAAATAGTTTTTTAATAGTAATGCACAACTTTATGCAACCATTTAATCATTCATTTATGTTGTCAGTACATAATAAAAACTAGGGGGAACTTTAAACACAATAGAGAGCAGTACAAGTACATATTAATCTAGTTAGATGTATAGTGTCTTTATGTAATGTCTTGGGTATGTTAAATAAAAAATAATGATAAAGATAAGCTACAATTTTTTACAAAAATGTTTAATTTCTCAAAACCATAAAAAAATTTCTCCTGGAAAATACCCTTGTTGCTATAACTAGCAATTTCTATACATTGGATTTCTATAATGTTTGACTTTGATTATTGTCCTGGGGGAAATGCTACTTTTACATTTCTTCACCCTTAAAAATGTTTCCTGCAATTAAATAGATTGATGAAAATTTTGGCACATTTTTGTAAAAAGTTGCAAAAAGTAAAGTTTTCTTAGAAATTAAAAAAAAATTAATGAAATCTGAAACTATTGAAAATTCATGGAACCTCAAAAACACAAAATTACATTTTTAAGTTTAAAAAAGAAAAAAAATATGATTTGTTCATAAAATAAATACAGAAGATGTACACAGATGTTTGAAAAATCCAATGATCATTGAGTAAATTAATATTTTCTGTAGATTTAATATCAGTTGATTCTTGAATTTAGAACAAAAATTATTTAAGAATTTAATTCAGAAGAACATTGCTGTTCAGTACAAACATAATTTATATTTAAAAGTTTAAGATTTCCACACTCCTAGGTCACTTTGTAAGTTTTGTCAACTATTATGTGTAAAAGAGTGCTTTATTTTTAAACGAATCTGGAGCATTCGCCAAACCAAGGGTGTAAAGGAAGGAAAGTTAATTGCGGTCGTGTATACTCTGCCTACATATGAAACCAGTTCTCTTTGGGCGGAATTTGTAAACAAGAATATCAGTGTTCGTTTAGTATCTGAGGAGTTTAAAAGCATTAAATTTTGATAGTTTTTGATAATTCACATAATAGTTTCCTATGACCAGAATAATTCATTGATTTTTTATGTGAAAGATGGATCCCATGTCAGGCTGTAACATCTGTCTTGTGTTTACATTACTGCCCAGAGACAGTACACTGCAGTTCAAAAGATGTGTACACTTCTGAAATAACTTTCCTTGCATTACATCCTTGCACCAAACCAAATTCATTGGTAGAAAACTCGTAGATCTGCCAAAATCTACAGTCCCTCGTTGTTCCTGGAACACTCAACTGGGTTAGCTGGGATGAGAATACAGCATTAAGGCGATATTTAAAGGGAGTTGATTTTTTCAAACCAAATGTTTTTTTGGTAGCTTTAAAACCTGTTTAAAGTGACAAGGTCTGTGCAGTAACCTTTAGAGATGGACATGTGTTTGACTTTTTTATTTTGTTCGTTCATCGCTTGTGAACTAACCATTTATTTTCTTTTGTTTGAATTTATTTTGTTCGATTTAAAAAATATCATTAATTTTCCATCTATTTGTTTGTTTTCTCACTGAACGATTGTTCAATAAAATTGTTCTTTTCAATAAAACAATCGTTCGTACTCAAAAACTTTTGATCATTCACAAGAAAACTATTCCCATTTCTATCTGTGCACATGCCACAATTGGTATGCCTTATGTTTATTGGATTAGTCTTGTTAAATAGTCTAGAAGTCTTTGCTTCCCATTCAACAGTTTCTGTTTCTCACTGTATCAAACAAATCTTCCATGACAAAACACAATCATATACATAACATATTTTTTGATAATAATTTTTTGGGGAATTTAAAAATTGATTTAACTAGAGATTTTGTAGAGTTTATTATACGACTCACATGCCCCATGGAAGTTTATGGACTTCGTCAAAATTGGTCAAGAAAAAAATGTCGATTTTTATTATTTTTAAAATTGCACCAATTTAAACAGAAAAATTCGAGAAATATTGAGTTTTATTGTAAACCAGCATGGTTTTTGAACCAATTGTACACGGTACAAATTCAAATAAGCAAAAAAATAGTTCAAATGCTCTAAGAATGTTATCGTTTGAACTATTTGTCTTTTGAACTACTACACGTGGTACCACATGCAATAGTTCAAATGATCAATAGTTTAAAAAGTCAATAAATAGTTTAGACTAAATAGCATCGCAATTTACTTTATTTAACGATGTAATAACTTTTTTATAATACCTCAGTTCACTTACATATCAAGAAAATGTTTACTCCTTCAGGTTGCAAAGAAAAGTTTACTCCAATTAATGATTTGAACAGATTTTTATTTGAGAAGAAAGGCTTGAAGAACTTCCACTCCACAATTCACATAGCTTCAGTTGCATCAATTTACGAGACAGAGTCGCAGCATCTTTGGCTTTGATTTTACTGCTAAAAATCACTTGTACTTTTTTGTAGCCATAAATATGAAAACCATAGGTGTGAAGCTGTAACAATTAATTGAGCAAAAAAACATGCGGAATTCTCTGCTCTGATAGCTCAACATAAGTTTTAATATTAAGAATTTCTCTTCCTTTACTTTAATAAAAGTTTGATGAAGAGAATTTAATTTCTTGACCTTTCTGAGTGTTTGTCCGTCCACGAACGTTAAACAAAATCCAGCTAGCCAGCCAGAAAGTTATTTTACAGGGTGAATTTAAAATATTTTTTTGTTCTTCCCATAATAGATTTTAAGTGTTTTAAGTAAGACATGCTAATGGTTGAGAAAGTATCAATGACTTACAAGCAAATCTATGAATTTTCTCCTAGTTGTTTTTAAATCTATTAGGTCGCTTTATATTTCTCACTTATATTATATCACTCGAAAACTTTTTTTCGCGGAATATTCGTCTTTTATGCACAAAATGATGTTTTTTTTGACGAATTTTCGCAAAAATTTTGCATTTGAAAAAAACCGTTATTTTTTCGGGAAATTTTCGCATTTTTTGCAAGGGAAAGAAATTCGAAATTTTTGCAAAATGATTTTCTTTTTTTCGTTGGAAACCTTGTAGATCAATACATGTTGAAGCTATGTGCACCAAGAATTGGAACTGAAGAAGTCTAATCTATATTATAAAAGACATATAATTGTCCTAATCATGCAGAAAGATTATTCAGAGTAGCAATAATGTTGAATTTTATACTAACAAATGCCCCCCTATCCCTCCTCCCAATCCTTTCAGTCCCCTAACCTGTTCAGAAATTGTATAACCTAACCAAATAAAAAACGAAAAAAGAGGAAACAACTCAACGTATTGAAGTTTTTTTTAAAAGACGGAAACTCCTCAACAGTAGAAGTTTTATTGCTATAATAATTTCTCTTCCTTTAGTTTAATAAAGTTTGATAAGAGAATTTGATTTCTTTACCTTTCTGAGTTTCTGTCCGTCCATGTTTGTTCACCAAAATCCAGCTAGCCATGAGCAAGCCGATAGTTATTTCAATTTCACAGGGTGAATTTAAAATATTCGAATTTTTTTTTGTTCTTCCCATAATAGATTTTAAGTATTTTAAGTAAGAGATGCTAATGGTTGAGAAAGTATCATATGACTTAACAAGCAAATCTATAAATTTATATTTCTCATTGTTATTATATCACTCGACAATTTTTTTTCGTTGAATATGCGTCGCATATGCTCAAAATGATGTTTTTTTGATGAATTTTCGCAAAAATTGAGATTTTTAAAGTTTTTGAAAAAATCGAAAACGGATCAAAAATATGAGGAAACGGACCTAAAATTTGACGAAACCAATCAACCAAAAGTGATTTTTAAAGTTTTTGAAAAAAGCGGAAACAGATCAAAAATATGAGGAAACGGACCTATAAAATTTGAGGAAACCGATCAACAAATTGAGATTTTTAAAGTTTTTGAAAAAATCGGAAACGGATCAAAAATATGAGGAAACAGACCTAAAATTTGAGGAAACCGATCAATCAATTGTGATTTTTAAAGTTTTCGAAAAAAGTGGAAACGGATCAAAAATATATGAGGAAACGGACCTGCAAATATGAGGAAATTGATCAAAAAAAGAGGAAACCATTCACCTCTAATTTACCTTACGGATATAAAATATTCGGAAATCTCAACAATTCTAAAATTTTGAGGGATTTCCTCGAATATCTAAAAAAAGGAAATTCCTCAAAAATAATTTTTGATCCGTTTCCGTGTTGAGTCGTTTCCGTGTTGAGGCGTTTGTGTCACCCATTTCGAACAAGCTAACACTAACATTAGATTGGACCAAGTGAATTAGTTTTGGAACTAATGTTGATCCTGTAAATAGAGATTCAAAATATACCGAAAAGCCTCAAAAATTTTGCGGAAACGCCTCAAAAATATTGGAAAATCCCACAAAAATATTTGGTTTAATTCCTCAAAAATATTTGTCAGAAGCGAACGCGCCCTTCAAATAAGTCAGGAAACCCCTCAAAAACTGGGTTTTGAGGGATGTCTGTATTTCTCACAGGCGACTCACAGAAATCGCTGAAACAACTATAAATAATAGCATACGTTATATAATCATAAGTTGGGTTGTAGCGAGTTACGATACGAATTTCGTTTTGTGATATGTTTTGCATAATTGCTATGTTAATGTATTTTATTGTATTATATGTTTTTAAAGTAACTTAATTTCTGTTTGATATGTTTTGTATTTAAAATGTTTTGTAAATTGTGTTAAATATGTATTCCCCCCCCCCCTGTAACGGTGAGTTTTCGTATGATGCGTCAAGGCAAACATTTATTTCTCCGGTGTAAGTTTGGACCGGTCCGACCATATTTACTCAGGGTCGATATTCTTTGTAAAATATTTCTAAAAAAATTAATTTTAAATTCTTATATGATAAAAAAAAATTTTTTTAGGGAATGTTTAAACCTAAAATTCACGCTCCCTTATTTATCACCCAGCAACAGACAGCTTTATTGACTATTGGCCATTGGGTTGAAACGGATTCATTCTGTGTTTTAGTTTAGCAGACTCAGACCTCAGTGTAGAGCAGTGCTTAGAGTGGCTAAAATTTCATCATACTACTCACACTCATTCTGTGCACTTTATACAGCAGCAAAGACAGACAGGAAGCAGTGGGTTTCCAACTGCTGGGCATGATGCCGTTTGGTAATTTCCTAGTGAACGATTTTTGGA